CGGCGCCTCGCCTGCAAATGTCCTGTCGAGCTCGAAAAACGTGACTTTGCTGCATAGCGACAGCACCATCCGCTCAGCCGGCCGCAGTGTCCACGCTGCCCTCACCTCGGGTCAGCGGGCTGGTTTTCCAGGACCCAGCGGGGCCGCACTTCGGGACCGGGTGGCACGTTTTAAACAGCTCCCTCCGAGTGCTCTCTTCTAGTTTGGTGAGGAGCCCCTTGTCCCTTAGGGCTCTTCATAGTCTGGCCGCTGATTGTGCCCCTCAGGGTGGCATTTAACATGTCACTCGGCCCCCTGTGTCCTGCACGCTGGAGCGTGGCTCAGTAGGCCTGATCGGACACAGCTTTGACTGGGTGGGTTTTCTTCCTATGGCTGCTTTGTGGATGGCAGTGCCTTCTTCCATAAGGAAGCACGCAGCGTGTGTGACGTGAGCAACTGCAGACCGTCGCGCCCCGATCCCGAACTCAGGACGGTGAAGTCCAAACCTTCCCGCCCTGCCGCTGTTCCCGCAGCCATTAGCTGGCGTGGCTTGAGGCAGAAACTCGCCCTCTCGGCCCTTTGGCCTCCCTGGGCTAGACTGGACTGGAAATGTCGCGCTCTCTCCCTTGTTTACTGGTTTTCAAAGCGGCGAGCTGAGTCACTGGGCCTGAGTCACTGAGTCACATTTGTTTTGTCTGAGTACCACTGTGACCTCATCGCGGGCTGGGACCATGTTCTGCGTCCCGGTCATTGCTGTCGCCATCCTCAGTGGTGCATGAGCTGCCCCGTCTCTGGCCAGGTCGCCTCTTCACACGGGCTCCTGATATGGGTGCTGGGACCTGAAGGGACTCCGAGCTCCCTGGCTATGTGGGAGGCCGAGCTGCGGCCAGCGCTTCCTTCCAGGAGGCCTGGCGCCCCTCGGGGAACCTGGTATTTCAAGGCTTCCATCAGCTGCCTTGTGCCCAGCGCTCCTGGCTCAGCCACTGTGCTGGCCTCTCCACAGACAGCCAGGGAAGGTGGGAAGATACGTACTTCGTAAGTTCACACATTTCAGTTCAGAGTCTGAGCTGCGAGGGTTTTCTTTAACTTCTGTCTCACATCTGTGTCGCCTCCCTTCCCTCCCAAGAGCCCAGTTCTCAAAGCCCCTGGAAATGTTAGAATTTCCTAAATTACTCATATGCTTTGCCCCACTTCACACGTAGGACAAGGTCGGCACGCCCAGCCATGGGGTGACGGCTGGCAGTCACATTTGTTCCCAATTCTTTTGTCTTTACTGTGTGTTCCACTGGTGACTGTTTTACAGTCACAGCCACAAACTGTGAACACATTTGGGTCCAATTTTCTTGTTCTATATTCAATTTTAGGGGAGTTTTAAAAATTAAGTTCTAAAATTAGATACACTAAATACGGCGGTTCCAAAGTCTGTACAATGAGGCATATTCTGAGACCAGCTGGGGCCACTGCCCCTGCCGGCACCCACCAGCCCTCCCCCTGGAGGACGGATTTGCTGTTGACCCTTTTTCTCATAGATGTGTTCCCACAGGCACACAACGTGTTCTCGCTTTGCCTGTTGATTTTTTTGTTGGTGTTTTTAGCTGAACCAGCTCGGGCCGGGCATCGAACCGGCGACCCTGTTGCTCAGAGCTCACACTCTTGAGTGAGCTCTTAACCAACTGAGCCACTCGGCCAGCCCACCCTGTTGATTTCAGAGTTGAGGAGCTTTTGTGTTTTGTTGTAATTGTTACCTTTACACGCACCCTCTTACACCTACCCAGCCTCTTCGTGGTGACTGTCCCCTGCTCTGAGCAGTGCAGACATTAGCCAGTAGCCTACCTTTCTTCCTCGACTTCTTGTCCCGCAGCATCTGATTGGAAGTGATGGCCTCTTACAGCTTCGAGGCAGCCAACAGGCTTGTTTGGCCTTTCATCTGCTTTCTCCGCATTTTAGTCGTCTGTGCTGTATAACAGATCATCACACACTTAGCAGCTCAAACACCCACTTAGTACGTCACAGTTTCTGTGGGTCAGGGGTCTGGACACGACCTGACGGGGTCCTCTGCTCGGGGCCTCACAGGCGGCGTCACGGTGTCGGCGGGCTGCGTCCTCGCTGGGGAAGGGCCCTCTTCCTAGCTCATTCCAGGTGCTGCCAGAATTTTCTTCATCATTAGAGGACTAAGGTCCCTGTTTTCTTGCTGGCTGTCAACCAGGGACCCCTCTCGGCTCCTAGAGGCCACTACAGTCCCCGCCCACGTACCCCCTAAGCTGCTACACCCCTGCGCACTCTCGTGTGACAGTGGTCTCCGTGTGACGAGAGCCGAGGGGCTCTGTCTGCCAGGTAGGGTGTGAAACGGTGTGAAATGCAGACTCGGGCTGCCCCGCAACACGCACTCGGCACGGAGCGCTCGGAGGTGGTGAGGTGCCCGCAGACCCCTACGTACGTACGTAGTTCTATCCGTAGGTGCATGCGTGCGTACGGCCGTATGGAGAGCTGGGGCAGCTGCCTCTGGCTTGGCTTTAGCAGCAGGTCGCCTCGGGTGCCGTGAGCAGCCAAAGGCCCTGTGGCCGCCTGATTGACACACCTCGTGCCTCTCTCGCGTTTCAGGCGTGGAAAGCCCACCTGATGGGCGCTGCCGGCTGCACGATGAACCTGCGCAGGACACACGTGCTGCACAAGCCTGCCGCTCTGCCGCCAGGTAAGCGCCCAGGCTCTCGGCACGCAGGGTCCCGGTCCCTCCACCCCACTCAGGCAGGGCATCCCGCCAGCATCTCCTCCTTAATTAAGGAGCAGGACAGTCATGTGACCAAGGTTCTCGTGGGCCACGAACTTGCCGAAGGCCTTTTCCTTCCGATGCTGCTGCTGCCGGAGGCTCGGCGGTGGCGTTCACCGAGTTAGCACGCCAGACTTCGTGGGGGTCCCAGGTGCACACCTGTTCTCCGTGCCCGTCTGCCTCGCCAGCTCCAGGGCGTTAGAAACAGGTCATACGTAGACCCTGAGGTAGCGCCACTGCCTGATTCGTAGTCATAATTTAGCTTGTTTATGTCAGAGTTAGAATGCCTTGCGAGGAAATGGTATTTCTCATTAGAAAATTGTTCCTGGCCAGAAGACGGGGGCACACCCTGCTTTAGGGTGTGTGAGAAAGCCGAGTAGGAAGCGAGAGCATGATCCTGATAAACGGGCGTGTGTGCCGGTCCATGCCCGGCGCTGGGCCGAGGGCTGGCCGGCCGGCCTCCCGGCCTCTGTCTGTAGATGAGGAAAGGAGGCAACGGACGGGCTGCCCAGGGTCACTCAGGAAGTGAGGCTGTAGTCACGCGCTGCTAATGTTCATGTCTGGAGCGGGAATTGGGAGCTACGATTAGGTAAATGGCTTGGTTCTCTTTCCTCTGCCTCCGTGTCAGGGGTTTCCTCTCCGCCCACTGTGCTTACGCCTCCATCTGTAGCCAGTGCAGGTGGGCTGGGTGACCGCCATCCACTCCGACCTGCCAGGGTCCGGCCGGCTCCTGCAGACGAGTGGCGGGAGTGTCACAGCCCCTGGTGCTGTGTCCCTCCCCCAGTGTCTGCTGTCACCGTGGCTTCGCGCTCTGATTGGTGTGTTAGTCTCCCTCCTAACGCGTGCCCGTGTTTTGCGTGTCTGTGTGTCCACTGCAGGTAAAGGCCCAGCCACGACCAAATCAGGGACCTCAGGGCCGAAGGTTGGGAGCAAGATCCCCACCCCAAAGGGAGGCCTGAGTCGAAGCTCTGGCAGGACATACACAAAGCGATGACGTGACAGGCCTGTCTCCTTCGTCTCCGTATGGGACTGAGCAAGGGTCCTGATTGCGAATCGCTTCTCCTAAAAGCTGTCCTCGGCTCCTGGCCGGGCTGCTCACTCATGGGCACCGTGTGTGGGACCGACTGAAGAGCCCGCCTCCCAGGGTTGGACCCTGAGCTCCGTAGCTGCAAGCTGTCAGGCCTCTGACTTTCGCAGGCCTCGGCAGCAACAGAAGAGTCATCCTGTTGGAAGAAAATCTGAAGCCGTGGCCCCGGAACTCCATGGAAAGCGTTTGCCAGGGTCCAGTCAGCATGCGGAGGGCGTGGCACGAGCATAGACCCCCACCTCTCAGCTGCTTGGACAGATTTCCGTAAAAACTTCACTGTAAACCTTTGCACACTGGTCGTCTCACACGTGCAGAACTTCCCGAGGCTTTGGCTCACTGGACCATGTAACGGGGCAGGAAGTGAGCGTGCACGGGTATCGCCCCCACCTTCTCCCTCACAGCGTCCGCAGAACCCATGTTTCCATTATACCGAGAAATAAAGGTTAAAAACAGTGGTTGCTGAGAACTGGACCCCCTCCAGGACTCACATTGTCTGTTCCGGCCTGTCCTGCTGTCCCTCAAAACCATGTTGAAATTGGAACAGCAACGTCGCTTTTCTCGAACACCTCGTATGATGCTAAAAACCAAAACGCCACTTAAAATGATGAACCCACACCCCAAAATCCAGTCTCCTTCCCAGCTCCTGACCAGCCTTCCTACCCCCTGGAAGTAGTTCGACGTTCATCGCTGGGTAGCCCTGGGGAAAAGCCAGTGTTTGCCTGAGATCTGCCTGGAAACGCCTGGCGTCTTCCTGCCCACACCTGCGCCCCCCCAGGCGCCCAGTCCACTAGACCCAAGGAAGCCAGCCCTCCCCGCCCCGTGCTGTGACCAGGGTCACGCGGTGCTTTCCTCCTGAGCACTCTGCAGGCAGCTTTCAGAGTGCCCGCGAGAAGTGCGTGGGGCTGATGAAATGTGTCCTGCATCATCAGTGTGTAAACATGTTCATTCCCACCATGTGAAACAAAACATAAAACAGTAATAGCTGATCCGCGTGCTCCCCGGCTATGTTAGTGACCGTGAATTTGCACTAATCAGCCTCCACATTTGGTAAACTAATACCGTCCGCTATGGTTGACTCAATACAAGCAGGAATAAATCTGACCAACAGAATTACCTTTGAATATATATATACTAAAAAGTAAAGAAGTATGGGAGAGTAATAATGGAAGACTTGACTAGACAAAGCAGAGTACAGATGCCCAGATAATTATGAAAAGATCCTTTCTGGCTTCAAAAAGATGTTGGCCATTACTTTCTCTTTTTCTAATTTATTTTTTTATTTAAGTGTAGTTGGTATCCAATATTACAATATTATTGACTGTACCCCCCTTCCCCTTTTCACCCATCCCCCAATCCTGGTCATTTTCTAATCCATTTTTGAAATACAGATGATACACTTTTTTAAACAGAACAATAATGAGAAAAGTTAACCAGGAAATTATTCTTTTCTCTCCAGTCTGAATTAAGAAATATATACATAGTGTTTTCTGTATATTTTAACTTTTAAAAGATACTTGTAAAAAAATTTAACTTGTAGTGATGGACCAAATTGGGTACATTTAAAACAGGTTTGTCTTGCTGGTCACAGAAGAATCATGTGTTACTGTTAAAATGATTCCTTGCAGTGATTAGTATGAAAAGCTTTACAGAGAAATATATACTATTAAGGAACTAAGAATAAAGGATAAAAATGTAAAAGGAATTGTCAGCTCTGTTGGCATTCATAAAGAAGTATCTAAATTAGGAACAGTAATTAGTAATTGAATTTTTACTCAAATATGTTATGGGTATTTAACAATATTTATTTCTATTTTCATATTTCAAAATATTCTATGTAACTTAAAAGAATTGTATCTATAAATTTGGTATCAGAATACGAATGTAAATACTTTTAATGAAAATTTGCAACTTTTTAATGTTTTAACATAGTTTTCTATTTGTCTTTATTTCAGGTACCAGAATGATAAACTAAGTTAATATATTTTTGTTGTTTTGGGACAGTCAGTTCACCCTGAGTATATTAATATAATAAAAAGGTCACTAAATACTTGTCACTTTTATTTCGAGATTATAATTAGAAAGCAATGTGTAGGTTACAGTCACCTCCTAAACGTGCGGATGTGAGGGCAGGCGGGGGATCGCTGACAGGGGCCGTGAAAGAGTACAGAGTCTGGGTCCCAAAATAAGGAATTTGTCCAGACGAGTTTACTGCGGAAGCTGAAAGATTTTAAGCTACAAATGAACTAGAGGAAATTGTTGACCAATTTCACCCTGTGGAATAAATCGGAATGCTCTAATTGTGCCCTTTAGAGAATTATAGTTTAGTCTCTGTGTGTTTTTTCCTCTGAATGAGGGTATTTGTACCACCAGCAAGGCTATTTTGCTTTTCAAATAACTAAAAAATGCAACATTTTCTCAGATTTGTAGGGTGGTTTTAAGCTTTTATTAACTATGATAGTTTTAGAATTGTTTCCATTTTACGTTACAATGTACAGTTCTTTCCTTTGTACAAATATGTATTAACTTGAAACTTAGGGTATCACAGTTGAAACAGCAAAAATTACTTCAAATGATTTATCCTCCTGTGGTCAGTAGGGTGTGTGTGAGCGACAGGCAGAGAGCCGCTGCCCCCAAGCCAGGCCGGCACAGCTTGGAGCTTTGTGCAGAGGGGCGCGGGGGGGCGCCTGGGGCTGCACAGGGGACAGGCCAGGACCCTGGGTGTCCGCCCTCGTCAGCATGGGCAGGGCTGCTCCAGGCTTCAGTGGTGGCCACAGGTTGGCCATGGGCTGTGACCCCAGGGACTGGCTGAGGCTACAGGACTGTGTCCGCCTGTTTCTTGTAGGGTCTTCCAGGGGACACACCTGCCAATCATCATTTTGTCCCCTCAGCTGCTTCTGAAAGCTTGACATACCACATACTATTTCTTATAGAAATAGAGGCCAGAGGCCATGTCTCTGTTACTTGAGAATCTCAAACATCTTGAGAACACAGAATTCTGTCTCAGGTTGCATGGTTCGAGGGAAATCGGTCCTCGTGCAACAGGGCCACTGCCCCCAACGGGAAACGCTGAAAAACGACGTGTCCTACTCCGAGAGCAGGGAAAACCATGCAGAGCAGAATGGCTACCACTCATGGTGGCGCTAAACCCAGAGCTACTCTGTCCTGCGACCCCAGCAGCCTCTCAGCTGTGTCTCCCCAACTCAGGGAGGCTGCGGGCTCCGTCTGGGTTCCCCCCTGCTCTGCAGCCCAGAGACCATCCGGGCAGAGAGCTCAGGTAACCGTAGGGCCCACCTGGGTTGTTTCCCTTCTCTTAGGGACATTGTCTTCTGTCACCTGGGGTCCAATGTCTTGAAAACTGTTGTTGCCTATTAGCGCATGTGGAGGATAAATTGAGTCTGTTACTGAATCTTGATCAGAAGCAGAAATTTCCATGACCCTTCGATGCAGGAAAATCGACAAATGCAGTTCCCCACGTTCATAGATTAAAAGAGAAAAGCCATGTGATCACCTCCCCAGAGAAGAAAAAAATCCTGACAAAATGCGACCATGAAAACCTATTAGTAAGCTAAAAATAGAATGTCAGACTATGTCTACAAATGTATTATTCTAAACAAGAAAGCACTAGAAGCAACTTGAAAATCAAGAATAACATCAAGAATAATCACTTCTATTTAGTATTGTTTTGGACATTCTAGCCAAGACAATTAATGAAAAGAAAAATAAGCAATTAAGACAAGAAAAATAAGGCCATCAGCCAAGTGGCTCAGTTGGTTAAGAGCTCACTGAAGAGTTTGAGCTCTGAGCAACAGCGGTTCGGGTCCGGCCGGAGCTGAGCTGCCAACAGGTGGCAGGATGGCTCAGCTAAAAAAAAAAAAGCAAAGAAAAACAAGGCTATAAATGCTGGGAAGGTGAAACAAAACTCTTGATTGTAGAACGATTTGAATAGGCAAATTGTTAAAACTTAACGGGTGATATCCGACCATTATACAAAAAGCAACTGCATTTCTAGCACAGCAGATCATTTTCAGTGGTAGCAATGGCTACAAAACACTTATAAGTCTAACGAAAGGTGTGCGCGGCCTGAACGCAGACGCAAACGTTAACTTCACTGTGTACACTAAGGGCTCAGATAAAGACGGAAGTGTTCCGTGTTCTCAGTGCCTGGGTTTTTGACTAATACCAACAGCTTTTTGTGTGGAATTTGAGTATATTGATTTTAAATTTTATACGAAACAGTACCCGATGCACTGGAAAAGGTCAATGTCACAGTCTATCCTTAGAGTAGTCATTAACAAAGACTGCCATGACCAGCCCTGGTTCTCCCCTTGGGGCAGGCAGATGCCCCCTAAACAAACCCTCTGGGGGCTACCAGGGCGCAGTGGGGCAGGTCAGGTGGCCAGCTGTGTCTGTGCAGGGCCGTCAGGAGGCAGGGTGTGGGGTGTGCTGAGGGCAGACCTAGAACTCGTGGGGTGAGAGGGAGACAAATTTGGGCTGAATTGGGGGGAGCTTTCCAGCAGAGCTGCTTAGGGAAGTGGCATGGGTCTGTTACCAGCAGAGCTCAAGCAAGGGCAGGAAAAGCAGCGTCGGGGATGAAGGGGACGTGCTTCCGACTAGGGAAGCAGCTCAACACGATTCAGGTCTGAGGTTCTTCCAGCCCCAGGACTGGTTCCAGAGGAGGCTCCCACAGTCCCGGGGACGCTTCTATCGTAGGGTCACACCTCATTGCTTCCTCCTTGCTCGAGCCACGTGTCCTGCTTCAGGGTTTCACTGTCCACCTCGTCACCCCCTCTGCCGCGAGAGCACAGCTGTGCCAGACGGGGACGTTCCTCCAGGAGGACACGCCGTGCAGACAGGACCCACCCGCAGACTGAACCAGCCCCGCAGCAGCGGACATGCAGAGTGGACAGCGGACCTGTATTGTTGGGAGAGCCACAGGGACTGGGCAGTTGCTTTCCAGCCAACATCACCACTGAAAACACTGTCCCCATACAGCGTCACCAAGTCGGCTTGGCGGCATTGGTTGGGCTCCAGAGAAACGAACCACTAATTACTTGATTAATCCGTACGAGGCGGCTTGGACACTCTTCAGGGAGACTAGCTCTCCCTCCCTTTGCTCCCAGGAATACCGCATCATCTGGTTGTCTTCACAGACTTACCACACAGGAATGTATCCCGGAATAACATCACCTTGCGCTTGACATGCTTTGAAGCTGTGCAAACGGAATCATACGCTACGTGTTCTCCTGTGGTTTGCTTTTTTACCTCAACGTGACGTGACGACCTTGACCATCACTCACGCTGTTGTGCGTAGCCTCTCATTCCCAATGTGATCATCCATTTTAAGAAATGCCTCGCAATTTATTTATCCATTCTCTTGCTGACGGGCATTGGGGTTGTTGGCTACTATAAAACCATTACCATTCTTGAAGCCCATCAAAATGGCATATAATAGCTATTACATAGCAAAAATCTACTCCAGAGACACTAAGCCGGCAAGGCTACACACCGACCCCAGGAACTAGAAGCCAATAATATTATATACGTGTGTATGGCCTTCCAAAAAGTCTCTGGAGAGACCAAAAGTTCTTGGGAATTGGGGGTTTCCGGCAGAGCGCAGAGGGCAGCTGGAGCTGGCTCAGAAAGGAGACTGGAAGGAGGCTCGACGCCCCACTCTCACCTCCCCGGCGCCGCCTGGGGACACACTGCTTGCCCTTCGCACGTGGGATCCGTCACGACAGCAACCAAGACGAAACTCGGCCTCTCGTGTGTGACGCAGTGAGGGTGTGGGGGCGGGTTCGGGCCAGCCCAGAGGGCCTGCTGGAAACAAACCCGGTGTAGTCACAATTCACTTACAACGCTGAGCAGCAACCGGTCCACACGTGCCTTCCGCACGAAGACAAATGCCGTGGGTGTCACGTGGCACCAAGAAGCCAGGCACCGAGGAGCGCGCCCGAACAAAACGATGGAGGGCCAAGGCCAGCCGGGCGCATCTGCGGTGTTGGACGTCAGGGCGCCGGCAACAACCTGCTTCTTGTTAGGGGGGAGGGTCACATGGATGTGTTCACTTTGGGCAAAATTCACTTATAATGTGGGCACTTTTCCCAGGGTGGACATTACACTTCAATAAAAAGTTGAGGGCCGGCCGGCCGGGTGGCTCAGGTGGTTGGAGCGCAGGCTCATGACACCAAGGCTGCAGGTTCGAGCCCCACGTGGGCCGCTGAGCTGCGCCTCCACACGAGATGGAAACAACGACTCGACTCGGAGCTGACGGGTCCTGGAAAAAACACACTGTTTTCCAATTAAAAAAAAAATTGAAAAAAAAAGTTCAGGGATTTCAAAACAGGATAAAACAGCTGAAAACCCTGCTGGGGTGAGAGCGAATGAAAATGAACCAACAGCGGGGGCAGCCGCCCTGGGAGTTCACCCCCCAGGAAATCAAGCCGGTCCAAGCGAGCGGTGGACACGCTGGGGCGCCTGTCGAACTCCCTGCGCGGGCCCTGCGTCCGGGCGCCCGGATCTCCAGGTGGACCGAGCCCCGGCGGTTTACAATCTGACGATTCCAATGCAAGAACCACTCACGTAAACGGGTAGAAAAAGAAAATGCCCCGGATGGTTGTTAAAAAAAAAAAAACCAGCCAGGAAGATTTCACCCAGGACGATTGTGGCGGGAGAGCGGGGACTCGACCCTGGACGGCACAGCTCAGGGTTATGCTCACCGGGCAGGAAAATCCTGGAGGAACTTGGTTCGGCTTTGCGGGGGGGGGGGCAGGATATGTCCCCCAAGTCGTGCCGCTTTGGTACACTGATGGCCCTGAGCCGGGGGCTCCTGAAAACCAGCAAACGCGGGGAGAGGCTCCCTCCGATCGCCCCTCGTCGGCCTGAAAACAAAGCCTCCCGCAGGCACGCAAATGTCCACATCCGCGCCCAGCGTGTCACCCACGGGGAAGACCGACGCCTGTCGGGAGAGGAGACGAGGAGCGGCCGCACACCCGGGCCCTGTCGCGCTGCCACGCCCTCATCTGTCCCTCCCAGGGCCCCCCGTCCTTCCTGAGGACCACGTCCTGTCCCCTCCCGCCCGCCCGCCCCTTCACACGCGGTTGACGCCCGGACTCCCAGCCTCCTCGGAGTCGCTCCTTTTCCCTGCGCGTCGCCGCTGGATCCATGAGGTGGACGCGTCCGTGAACCGGTCCCTCTGCCTCTTATCACAGGGCTTCAGCCAAGACCGCGGCGGCGGCGGGGCAAGTCCCGCTGCTCCCCCACAGTCTCCACCGCGGAGGACGCTGTGCAGGCGGGCGCCGCCCAGGCGGGGTCAAAGGCCGGGAGGGTCCCTCGGACCCGGGCTTCGGCTTTCGGAGCGGAGGCGCCGGGGGGATCGGCCCAGGTGGGAGTGGTCCGCGCGGGTTCTGCGCTCGTGGCCGCCGCTCCGCAGCCCCCGCCCGCGGGCAAATCCGGACTCGGCGGGTGGAAACGCCCAGCGCCGCCGGCGGCTCTATCCGGGGGAGGACTCTCTCCTCTATGGCACTCGCGGCGGCGCTCTAGCGTCGGAGCGTGTTCTCCACGGCTCCTTCCGGCCCTGGCCGGAAGTGACGGGCCGTGCCCCGGAAGCACGCTGGGAGCGGCCGCGGGACTGGCGGCGCGATGGCGGCAGTGGCAGTGTCGGAGGCCTGGCCGGAGCTGGAGCTGGCGGAGCGGGAGCGGCGGCGGGAGCTGCTGCTGACGGGGCCCGGGCTGGAAGAGCGTGTGCGGGCGGCGGGCGGGCGGCTCCCGCCGCGGCTCTTCACCCTGCCGCTGCTGCACTACCTGGAAGTGAGCGGCTGCGGGAGCCTGCGCGAGCCGGGCCCGGGCCTGGCGCAGGGCCTCCCGCAGCTGCACAGCCTGGTGCTGCGGCGCAACGCGCTGGGGCCCGGCCTGAGCCCCGAGCTCGGCCCGCTGCCCGCGCTCCGCGTGCTCGACCTGTCAGGCAACGCGCTGGAGGCGCTGCCGCCGGGCCAGGGCCTGGGCCCCGCCGAGCCGCCGGGCTTCCCTCAGCTGCAGAGCCTCAACCTCAGCGGCAACCGGTTGCGCGAGCTGCCCGCCGACCTGGCGCGCTGCGCCCCGCGCCTGCAGACCCTCAACCTCACGGGCAACTGCCTGGACGCCTTCCCGGCCGAGCTCTTCCGCCCCGGCGCGCTGCCCCTGCTCAGCGAGCTGGCGGCCGCCGACAACTGCCTGCGAGAGCTCAGCCCCGACATCGCCCACCTGGCCTCGCTCAAGGTCAGCGGGGCGACCGGCGGCGGGCGGGCGGGGCGCCGTGGTAGCCGCGGGGAGGGAACTCGCCTGGGGCTGAGCCGCGCGGGGCGCCGCGCTTGGGAAGTTCCGACCTGGCCGGGGAGGGCCAGCTCGCGTCCGTACCTCGGGGGGCCGTCCGCGCCCCCCGCCCCCCCGTCACTAGCCTGGCCTACGTCCCGCGTGACGCTCCCTCTCGCCGCGCTGCTCGCACCTGGACTTGACCGCGTGACGCGCTGCCTCGTCGTCGTTAGCAAACGTGGCTTCCCGCTCAGGTTCAGAGCAGCAGGGCCCCGGGCCTGGGTGTTAGTGTCTCCAAATGCGTGTGAAGCGATTGAACCACCCGCGTGTGTGTGTCGGGGGCGGGGGCACCCAGACGAGGCCTAAAGGTGGGAAACGGGTTCGCACAGGCCTCGCGCGCCGCTTCAGACCCGAGCTTCCTTGGACCCCACGGCGGCCTGCTCGGGTGGGGTTTTGTGCCGCGCTACCCGAGGCCGGAGCGGGCTCTCGAAGGCGAAAGGCGAGTGACCTGGGTTTTCTCTAGACGACGTGGTCCGGGGTCTCCAGGCCCCAGCGTGACGCGTGGCCCCTCACAGGTGCCCACGAAGCCGGTTACGTTCGAGAGGCGGGTGGACGGGAGTCGCGGAGCCACCTGCCCAGCGTTCTTGGCCCTGCGTGTTCCCTTCCCTCTCATCCTTACAAAGGCGGGGCTTGTGTTTCTTCTTCCTGTTTTCCAGGCAGGTTTTTCTTAATAAAACGTGTGTACAGTTTAGCAACTGATCTGCTTGCAGCAGAAACGACTCTTTAAGGTGACGACAACTTGTTTTACTGAAACGCCTGTGTGTGTGTAAGAGAAACACGAGACCGCTGCAGAAGGGCACGCGCTTGCGGGCATTTCTGGGGACAGGCCGTGGGGGTGACTCCCCGGAACCCCTTGGTCACCCGGGGCTGTGGGGTGTGCACTTTCTACTCCGTCTTCCCATCTGCTGGATCTCCGGGTTTTCCAGCGTGACGCGCCAGGTGTGTGAGTGCCGCTCAGGCGCCCGCTGCTCCTCCCAGCCGCGCTGGCGCAGCCTCTAGCCCTGCCTGGCCAGGCGGTGCCTTCGCTGTGTCCACACACCCTCACTCGGGTCACAGCCAGGGCCTCGGTGGCCCGGCCCGTTCTGCCCGCCACACTGCTAGACTCGCGTTGGATCCGTGTCACTTGAAGAGACCTGTTTCTTGGAGAGAGTCATGCATGAGCCGCTTGGAACCCCTTTTGGCCTTAGATGCCCTTGGGGGGCCTTTTCTAAAAGGGCGCCTCCGTGAGGAATAGAACTGTGGGGACGGTGTTGCTACACACGCCGGAGGCTTGCGTGCAGAGCTGTCCTTGGCCTTCCCGCTGCTGTGGGGAGACAGCAGCGGCGGAGAAAACCGGGCTGGGGACCGGAGCACGGGGGCCCCGCTCGTCTCTAGGGGTCCGTTGGCTCCTGCACCTGTCTCCTCACCTCTGAGAACAGAGGCGCCGCGTTGCCCGTGAGGACAGGTCACCCCCGCTGCGTGACAGCTCCCAGACTCGGGCGTAAAACTTCAACAGTCGTTTCACCTGCCAAGGGTGCTCCGTTCAGGGCCGGCTCAGCTGGACGGTTGCCGCTCCTGCTGTGATCGCTCGTGTGGCTGGCTTGGCTGGCCGTGGGCTCAGGGCCGGCTACGCTGGAATGCTGGGGCAGCCGGGCCTCCCTCCTGGTCGTAGGGGACCTCCCTTCCCCAGCAGCCTAGTCTGACTCCTTACGTGGCAGCTCAGGGCTCCTCAGCACAGGGCAGACGCTGCCAGACCCGAAGGCCGAGAACCGGCACCCTGTCGTGCCCACTGCGTCCTGTTGAGAAGTAACTTGGTGGGTGACGTCACAGGGTGTGACTACCGGGAGGCACCAGGGGAACGGCACACAGGCCTCTGCTTGTCCTACTCCTGTCCCCAGAGCCGGGCGACTGCAGGGCAAGGGCATTGGTGCGCACGCCCCAGGGCGCCGGCCCCAGGTGGTGGCCCCAGAGCCTGCAGCTGTGAAGGCCGGACCCTCCTCGCCCCCGCGAGTTCCCTCTGCCCCTGGTGGTCTTGGCGCGTCGTCCAGGCCTCTGCCCCTTCAGCTTGCCGCCCCCCCCACCACCTCCCCGGGAGATGTCGGAGTGTGGGGTGGGCTTCCCCCAGTTGTGGATGTTCTTGAACGGGGTTCTGTTACCTCTGGGCTCCACTGCCAGGGCTGCAGTGCGCGAGGAGGGGTGGCACCCCCATGTCACTGCTGCCTGCGTTGTCGGTGACCCAGACCTGTGGCACTGCCCATCGGGGTGGTGGAGCGGTGGACAGGACAGATGTGCCCCCCAAACTTCTGAAAGGGGTCAGGACAGCACCTCAGCGGCCACACCATCCAGGCTTTCTCCCACTCCTGCCAGGGTTCGCGCCCACTTCCGTCGGCCAGTGTGCTCACGTGAGGGACTCCTCCCACGGGCAAGTTGCACAGAACTTCAACTTTGAAGGTGAAACCTTTGTCCAGTAATAAGAGAAACTGAAGTAAGAAAAAATACTTCCTCAGTGTTTTTATTTTCTCAGTTGCTGCTGGAGGTGGCAGGGCTCACTAGGTGCCAGGGTACCGTCCAGGTCCCCTCAGCCCGCCATCCGCTGGAACGCAGACAGTTTTTTTTCCTTACACACCTCCGATGCGGAGGGTTTGTCTCAGGCTCACACCACCAGAAATTTCGGACCCCTTCCCAGCAGTGTGTCCCATGCAGAGATGATGTTCCCACCAGGCAGTTGGCATCACAGTCCGGGGTTGGAGGCTGGCCCCACTTCGCCAGTGTCGGTGTCTGTATTACCTGCAAGAAAGGAGCAAACAGCTGTCCTCAGTGTCGGCTCCGGGCAGGAGCCCAGAAGCCACTCGATGTGCAGTTAATTCTCCCTTTTAAGTGGTTATGGACCTCCTGTCCTCTGGGGCTGGAGCGCTTATTCCAGATGCAGCTTCTCCTGTGAGAAAGCCTCCGCCTCCGCCTCCGCCTCCCGCACGGTTCCGTTCCCACTTCGTACCCACATCCTCCCACACCAGGACATCTCCTGAGATGAGACCTGGGAACCCCACTTCCCGTTGAATCTGCCATTCAGGTGCCCAGCACCAGACGGAGTGGCGTTTCGGTGTAGGGACCAGTCTGTGCTCCTGTCAGCCGGTCTCTACATCTTTACCAGGCCCCCCATGTCTGTGGCTTCCAGGACACCCCAGGACCCTGTCTGCTGCTGCCTCCCTCCATCTTCCCCCTCCTCAGCTGCCACTTACAACTCTCTGGCTGCTGCCACTGCTTACCGCTCCGAAGTGCCTGTTATTTGGTGATTGTGCCCCCCGAAAGATCTCCCCCCCCCAGTACCCCTGCACCTTTTTCCTTCAGTGGCTCCGGTTGGAACTGGGAGCCCGAGGCACGGCCCTGTCTCTCACCCTCCCCTCCCTGCTGGCTCTCTCTCCGCTGCTGTTTCTGAGTGTTTTCATCGTGGGCGCAGACATGCCAGCCAGCGTGTTTTCTTGCATTGACGAGGGTCCCTGCGGTGGAGTTTGCAAGCTGTTTGGCCAAAGCCCTTTTGGACAGTGCAGGGGACTTCAAAGCCAGTGAATGCACGTGGCGCTGTGGACAGACAGATCCAAGCCTGACCTTGGAACTCCGGCCCTTCACTGCTGCTCACTAGCCTCTGGGTGGACAGGGGACCCAGCTGTGGTCGCGTGTGCATGTGGGGACTTCTGGTCTAGGTGGCCCAGGCGGCCCCACCCTCCAGCCCAGGCTCCTTCTAACAGCAGAGGCAGGCTTCAGAGAGCATAGATGCAAACTGCAAACCTGGGCTCAGAATCGGGCGATATTGTTACGTTTGCTGCCTGGTGACAGGCAACAGTGTTAGGTGGTAGCTGGGGTTCCAGAGCAGGGCACAGGCTCCGCCTCTTGGTGGGAGGGGCTGCCAGGTCCCATGCAGGTGGGGTGCAGTCCATCTGCCCCACCTTATCCAACCCCACCCCGAGAGTGGAGAAAGGCCTGGAGAAGCACAGCGTGGCGACCATTGTAAGAAATGCTGGTAACCCTGTGTCCCCTGGGGCTGCTTGGTCCCCGGTGGTGACTGAAGACCACGTCTGATTTAGTTTGTGCCCCTTTTCATGCTTTCCATCCCTGTTTTGAGTGTGAGGTGGACACCTGCTCTGCAGGTGCCCCTTCCTACGTGGGTCCTGGCTCTGCTGCTGGTGGCTCCTCAGTGGTGTCACCCAGTGCTGACACCCCCTCTCCACCGTGGTTCTCCCGGCCTCTTGGCAACCTGACTGCTTGAGTCAGGATTCAGTCAGATTCCTTTTTGATTTCCTTATCTCGGGGTCTGTGAAATTCCACTAAAAGTGTCCTCTGCACCATCAAAGCAGATGGCATGTTCTGAATAATCGGAGCCCCTGCCCTTTTTCAGTCCTGATAAAACCCACCACCCACAGCGGCCCTCCTGCCACTGTCACAGCCCAGCCAGGACCCGACTTGTTGCCGGCCACGCATACCAGTGTGTGCCCTCGCTGTGCTGTGAGCGTGCGTGGAGGGGCTGCCCACCGCGCTGCCATCATCGCTTTGACTCGGGTGTGGTCCACGCAGGCTAAGGACAGAGCCCGCGGCCCAGGCCTCCGCTCTGGACGGGTCCCTGAGATTCCGGCAAGAGTCCCCTGCCGCCCCTGGCTGCCTCACGTCCCTGTCCCCGGGGTCACTGCGACCAAACCAGAAAGGGTTTCTTCCAAGGCTGTCCTGTTAAACCTAAGCCCCGAGGCAGGGCTCAGCAGTGCTGAGCAAGGCCACCCAGAGCTTCCTGCTGGCCCTGGGGGAAATGACCACAGGCACTTACGTGCAGTGCCCGGTGCCGCTGAGCCTGCCACTGGGACAGTCACGCTGGGATACGAGAGGGGAGTGCTGGGCCTCCTGGGAGGGAGGACCCTGCCCCTGCACTGTCATGTTGGTGGAAGGACCCCACCTGCTGGGAGAAAGGTCCCCTCAGTGTCCTGCAATCTGGCCACGCTCCTTAGGGTCCCTAAGCCCATCGGTGACCTTGTAAGGTGGCTGCTTTGCTTGTTTTCATCATTTTGTCAAAGTTTGATCTTTAATGCTGATAGAGTTCTTCCCCATGGGGTCCCTGGGCCTCCTATGGGGCAGACAGACGTGGCCCCTACACGCTTTCCTGGGTCATTACAGGGCTGAGGGCCTCCCTTCCTGTGAACACCACCTGGCCGTTTGTGAGCACCCAGAGGCGTCTGCTGGTGGCGTCGCATTTCAGTGTGTACACTGACGCTGCCTTACTCCTGCATTCTTTTCAGCTTGTTTAACTTAAACCCCCTCAGCAGCGCTTTGTGGGGCACCCAGCCCTCATCTAAAGTGCTTATCTGCTCATAACCAGATGGCGCCGCCTTGCCTTTCAGTGTTCTAAGGGTCCATCGCTGTGACCACGAGGAGGCTCATGCTTAAGACCCATGTTTTATGGAAGCTGCTTACGCCGCTGACCTCAGTGCTGGTGCTGGCGGGTGGGCGGGTGCCAGGGCTGTGCCAGCCCAGGGGTGTGATGTGACTGACGGTGCCCCTGTCCCCCAGCCGGCCACAGTCCGGGAGTCTGATGTGCTTTGGGTCCCCCTTCCAGACGCTGGACCTGTCCAACAACCAGCTGAGCGAAATCCCGGCGGAGCTGGCCGACTGCCCCAAGCTCAAGGAGATCAACTTCCGCGGAAACAAGCTGAAGGACAAGCGGCTGCAGAAGATGGTCAGCGGCTGCCAGACAAAGTCCATCCTGGAGTACCTGCGCGGCGGAGGCCGGGGCGCTGCGCGGGGCAAGGGCAAGGCCGACCCGGAGAAGAGGAGGGAGCGGAGGAAGAGGGAGGGCGGGGAGGGAGCGGAGGAGGAGGCGGACGCAGCCTGCCGGCTGCTGCTCAGGGTCCTGCACGTGTCCGAGAACCCAGCCCCACTCGTGGTCAAGGTGAGCCCCGAGGTCAAGGACGTCCGGCCGTTCATCGTGGGGGCTGTTGTGAGGGGCATGGACCTGCAGGCCGGGAACGCACTCAAGCGGTTCCTCGCCTCTCAGGTGGGTGCACACGGCCAGCAGGCGGGTGGGTGCGCCAGCAGGCGGGTGGGTGCGGCCAGAGGGGGTTGTGGGGAGGAGAGGCCATGGGGCCGGTGACCTTGACCTGGCTCTGGGTGTTGGTGGGATGACACCAGGCAGTGTGTGTGCCGGGAGCAGGAAGGGCCATGTGGGCCCTGAGCGTGGGTCACCTTGTGCAGACAGACCTGTGTGCCTGGGCTGGCAGTGGTGGCTTCCTGCTCTCCGCCCACAGCTCGTGGCTGAGCCGTATTTCTGAAGATGTCTTGGTTCCCATGGAAAATAGGTGTTTCTGGAGTTTCTGATGTTTGGTGGATTTTTTTATTATTATTATTTTATTGGGGAACAGCTATGGTCATTGGTTATACATTGCTTTCATGCTACAATGGCATAGTTGACTTTTTTTTTTTAAGATTTTATTGGGGAATTGGGGGAGGGAATTTAATTGGGGAATTGGGGGAAGGGGAACAGACAAGTTGCTGCCCTTTTGTTCTTCAGTCTAGTTGTGGAGGACGTTGCTTCACTGGCCCAAGTTGGCACCATCATTGCGCTCTTCCCGGCCGAGGCAGATCAGTCGCCGGCTTCTGGATGGCCGCTCACTGCGGCTGCTGGCCGCTCACGCTGGCTGCTGGCTACACACGGTAGCCCATGGCAACCCACTGCCACAGGGGCTGCAGCCTATGCCGTCGCCGGCGACTCACGGCAGCCCAGCTCCAGGTTGAGCTGTTGTTCAGCATCTTAGCTGTGGAGGGCAGTGTCACTGGCCCTCATCTGTGGGATCCGAACCGGGGCCCTCTGGCGTCCCAAGCCAGTGCTTAACCGTCGTGCCACTCGGCCGGCCCTAGTTGACTCTTTTAAGGAGGGCACAGCTCACAGTGGCCCATGCGGGGATCGAACCAGCAACCTTGGTGTTATCAGCAGCACGCTCTAACCAACTGAGCTAACCGTTCACCCTGTTTGATGGACTTCCTGATTTGTGTAACAAATCACATTTAGTTTCATATACGATGGTATTGAAATCATCAACTGTCTCCAGCATGTTATGTGAATTATTTCGTTTTTGTTTAGGTCTTAGCTGGACAGACTTCCTAATCTGTCCTCTTTCTGTGCAGTCTGCCCATCTTTTAAAATAACAAGCACATCTTTGACATGAGAAAGACCCATGAGGGTGGCCCCATGGGGATGAGGCGGCTTTCTGGAGGTTCTTGTATTGTTGTGTCTTAGGAACCCTCCCGCTCAGGGAGGAAGCAGGAGAAATGCAAAGCCAGGAGCCTGGAACTCCCAGATGCAGGTCTGGCAAGACAACGTGTTGGACTTGTTTTTAAATCCTACTTTTGTTAATTCATTCATAAATTTTAGTTCAAGATGGGTTCTTTGAAGTCTCAAATATTGTGTTCTAGAGTTAGGGAAAGAAGAAATTTTGCTGATAAACAGAAGAAAAAAAAAACAGTTTTCTGAGGTTGGTTTCACAAAGTGAATGTTTGGCAGAGAAGGGAGGCTGCGGTGACCGGGACCTGGACCAGGCTGGGCGCCGGCCCCGCTGAGCGTTGCTCGCTTCTGCTCTCGTGTTGCAGACCAAGCTCCACGAGGACCTCTGTGAAAAGAGGACAACGGCCACCATCGCCACGCACGACCTCGCAGCGGTCCGGGGGCCCCTGCTGTACACCGCCCGCCCTCCACAGGACCTCAAGGTGACGCGGCGCCCTCCTGGGTTCCTTCGTGTTTTTGAGAACTGCACGTGCTAAATATTGCCCCTTAGTGTGTTAAGATAGAATCAGACACTGCTCCCAGCAGGTCCCCAGAACAAAACAGGCCGTGCTGACAGTCACTTTGGGAAGAAAGCTCCTCAAGGGAGGTCGCAACTTGAGAATGATTTTTGTCATTTGCTCACTAACTTTTAAACAAAAACGTATGGTTTTTATCCCAACGGCAAAACTAACTTGGGGCTGACTTGAGCGTGGGATGGTCTGTTGCGGTCCTGCTCCACGTCTATTGACCTCGGTAGCGAACTGCACGCCTGCCCTGCCGGGCTCCCCTGCTCCCCATCTCTCATCCGCATTCCAAGGTCTACAGCCCTGGAAGGAGCTGTGTGTTGGGCGGGTTCAGGATCAAGCTCAGTTTCAAAAGCACTGTAGTTGGGGGAGGGGGTTTGTCACCTCGAGAGGCTAAAAAGTATAACTATGGCACTGTATTGTACAGCTGAAACTAATTCTAAAAAATGTATATTTCACAATAAAAAATAATAAAAATTTTTAAAAGGCACTGTAGTGTTGGGGCATTCAGGTCCCTAAAGCGACCCCTGAAGGCACAGTGTGACCATGTGTGATGCGGAGGCAGAGCTGCTAGCTCTCGGGCGGTTGTCACCTCTCCCTGACGTGGAGGTTAATGGAGGAGAGAGCTGACGCTTAAAGCCAGAACGAGCTGTGAGCTGACCTGAGGTTTGCACCCTGCAGATCGTGCCCCTGGGGCGCAGAGAAGTCAAGGCCAAGGACCTCGTGCGGCAGCTGCAGCTGGAGGCAGAAGAGCACCGGAAGCAGAGGAAGCGGCAGACGGTCTCGGGCCTGCACAGGTCGGCTCTGCTGGGGGGGCTCGGGGGTGCGCACACGCTCAGAAGGCCCCCGCACACTGTCCCCCATCTCAGCACCTGCCATTTAGGAAACCCCTAGACTCGCAAAAATTTGAGAAGTCCCCGAGGTCATTTACTTTACTGTTAGGGATTCGCACGCAGGCTAAAAGGAAGTACTGTTGGGCAAGTGTCTGGGAGGTGATGCCACTTCTGAGACAGCGCTACGAGTGCAGTCCTGTGTCACGTCACAGCAGGGTGGCCCTTAGGACAAGCACCAAGGACGTGGAGAGAAGAGGGAACCGCATCACCACCAGCCCTGGGAAGATGAACTACCAAACCCACAGCGTCTTACCCAGATCTCATGCTGCTGGGAAATGCACGCAACGCAGGTCCCCAGCCTGGCTGCCATCCCGTGCAGACACGGGCTTCGGGAAACATCGATCCCTTGAGCTTGTTAAACGTGCCCTTGGGGTCACACTTACTTGGGCTAAACCGCTTTGATCTATCCAGTTTAGCCTCGAGGTGTGTCTTTATAGCTGTACCAGTAACGGGCGTTTCTCCCACCCAGATACCTGCACTTACTGGACGGAAGTGAGCACTACCCCTGCCTCATGGATGCCCAGGGCGATGTCATTTCTTTCCCACCGATAACCAACAGTGAGAAGACCAAGGTGGGCGGCGCCTGAGGCTTTTTTTTTTTTTTAAGATTTTTATTGGGGAATTGGGGGATGGGAACAGCACTGGGGAATTGGGGGAAGGGGAACAGACAAGTTGCTGTCCTTTTGTTCTTCAGTCTAGTTGTAGAGGACGTAGCTTCACTGGCCCAAGTTGGCACCATCATTGCACTCTGCCCGGGCGAGGCACATCAGTCACCGGCTTCTGGACGGCCGCTCACAGCAGCTGCTGGCCGCTCACGCTGGCTGCTGGCTACATACGGTAGCCCATGCCAACCCACTGCCACAGGGGCTGCAGCCTACGCTGTCGCCGGCGATTCACAGCAGCCCAGCTCCAGGTTGAGCTGTTGTTCAGCATCTTAGCTGTGGAGGGCAGTGTCACTGGCCCTCATATGTGGGATCCGAACCGGGGCCCTTTGGCGTCCGAAGCCAGTTCTTAACCATCACGCCACTCAGCCGGCCCCTGAGGCTCTTTTATGTGTAGTTACCACCTGTCTGTCCCCAATCTCTCCCCAGAAGCCCCGTCGCTCTGCTGCCCTCCCACACCGGCGGCCGGTCCAGAGGCTGTGCCTGAGCGCACGCCTGGTACCGCACCCCTCAGCCCGTGCGCACCATTCTGATCTGTGTCTGTCCATAGGAAGGTGACAGTGGGCCTGTGTGACACCATTTTATAGGGTTTTCTTCAGGTTAAATGTTGTAGTTGTTGGTGTCTACTTTTGATAAGTTGACTCTTTCTGAAATCCTTTTAAGATTAAGAAAACGACTTCTGATTTGTTTTTGGAAGTAACAAGCGCAGCGAGTCTGCAGGTCTGTAAAGACATCATGGACGCCCTCATTCTGGTGAGTACAGCCACCGGCTCCTCCCGGGTGACTCGGGACAGAGCGTGTCCTGGGTTCCTGCCCCTTCCGTGCAGCTGCCTCTTGTAGCTGTCAGTTACGGCAGTGCCTTCCCTGGTCGCCTGTAATCTCTAGGTTAAAAGGAGGTTTTTCACTTGCAGAAAATGGCAGAAATCAACAAATACACTTTACAAAATAAAGAAGAGGGCTCTCTCTCAGATGCGGAAGCTGACGCCGCCCCTGGGCAGCTGTCGGACCCCAGTGCTGAGAAGGGGGGGCCCTGCCCGCTGGTGGTAGAGCAGGTTCGGGTGCTGGACGAGGAAGGGCACCTGAAGGTGGTGTACCCGTCTAAGACGGACCTGGACTTTGCTGCATCCCACGTGACCGTGACCCGCTAAGAAGTCAGGCCACAGCGGCGAGGGCCAGCGAGCGCAGCAGACGGAGCGTGAGCTTTACTGCTTCTGCGGGGCTGCTGTGGGTTTGAGACCCCTCGTAACACTTCGCCTTGGCCTTGGCTAAGGCACCTGCACTCCTTGTTTCCACAAGGTTTTGTCGTAGAGCCGTGCCACGTGTCGTGCTTAGATTTGTCCTGCCCACGGCTCTTACTGAGTCTTTTTATAAAGTCATTCAAATAGCAGATGTCCTGAAATCATGTAGACACACCAATGACTGTTCATGGGGAAAAAGCCCTACAGTTGGATTGAATGTTCGGCTCTAAATGCAGATGCTGCACAACATGCATTTCATTGAACTGCATAGTTATTTTTCTATGATGTCGCATCTTTTAAAGTCACTGCCAGAGAAACGTGCAGCGAGTCATGTTCTCCAGCTTGCAGTAAATCAGAATCCTTTTATAAGACAATTTTTTTAGTGAATTTCTTGAAGTTGCTGTAAGATGTGTAAGTGGTGGAGATGCATAGAGCCTTCTAGAGGCAGCAGCACCGCCCGGCCACGGGGCCGGGCCGAAACAGGAGAAGAATCAGTGGGCTTCAAAAATCACTGGGAGCGAACAGACAGCAGGACCACAACTCGGTGGAACTCTGCAAGTTTCCCATCGCGAAATCAGCTTTCAGGGCCCGACAGGACGGCTCTCTGCACATCTTCAGCCGTCGCCAGCAGCTAAACCACGGACGGAATGTGGGGAGCAATGACTGCAGAGGCCTGAGGTTTCGAAAGCAGAAATCCTAAGGTGTGCGTCCCACAACTGCCTCTGCAGTATTTCATCCTGTAGCTGTCTTCCGTGTCACAGACCGTAGACCGTCTGTGTGGAGGCACACACGTACGTGCCCCTCCCTGGAGCCAGGATGTTCCTGGGCCCAGAGAGCTGGCCAGCTGTAGAGTTGGTGCTTTTGACTGACCTCACTGCTTTACGTTCTGGCTGAAATGTGAGCAACTGACTCCTCAGCTTTTTGTTATTTAATGACACATTGGTTCAGTGGTTTCTGACCTGCAAACGACAATTTGTGTTTTGTCATTTTGTGGGGAAGCATTTGGAAGAGCCCCGCTTAACCTGTGCAGTTAACCATCAGAACTGCATGTGGAACGTATGAGCAAAGCGGCGTGGTCCCCCAGAGCTCAGCCACCCCACTCGGCAGGACTGCCTCGAGACCCTGACCTCGCTCTCCTGTCACTGCCAAGGTCTCCTGTCGCCCAGGCTGAAGCTTTTCTTTGTGCTGTGTCCCCCCATATTATGTCATGACCCTTGGCAATCGAGGCTGCTGATGCTGTAGCTGGTGTGGGATCTGCAGGTTACAGGTGAGCCCCGCTGGGAGCTCCGGGCTGGGGCTGCAGCCAGCGGCCCTCTTGCTCCTGGGGCTTAGGGTTCGGTGGCCACATTGTGTCACATCTTGGACCTGGATGAAGCCACCATTGCCTGTAGCTTGTTTGCTATGGCTTGATTCCGTGTGAAATTTAGAAAAGTACTTGGCGTATGACAGGAACCTGACATTTTTTCCATGCCAGTCCGACTCTCTAATAAAAACACTAAGAACACCAACTCCTGCCCAGTGGGTGCCTTCCTGCTAGTTTCTGGAGGTGGGTGTTGCAGGTGTCTGGGGTAGCTGAGGGCCTGTTCGGTACCTGCCTGCTGCCCTGCCCACACCTTGCCAACAAAGAGCAGGAGGCACTTAGCTAATCGCACGGCCCTGACCCAGGGAGCAGGTGGACGTGGACCCCCACCCAGGGAACAGCTACGGAGTCAAGTCGTTGGGACCCACCCCAGCAGACCGTCCAGCTCCTGAATGTTTTGGGAGGCCGCTTGGTGACTCCGCCGAGTCCTGTCCCATCTTCCCCCTGACCCTCCCAGGGCTGTAAGAACACGGTCCTGGGTACCTGAGC